CGGCGCTTTCAGTTCCTCTTTTCCTCGCTAGCTACCGCCGGTGGAGGTCGCGTGGTCTGGCTGCGGGGTTCCCCGAAGCCCCGTGCCGGCGGAACCTGACACTGTACACCTCAGACTAGAGGAAGGTCCACTTGGAATTTCCCAGAACCAGGACCAGCTGTGCTGTGAAATTCCCATGCCCTAACTTTTCCATCTGACTCAAATCAAAAGGAATTAAAGACTTAGTTTTGCAATCTAGCTTTTCCTACATAACATGTTTGGGTTTTAGTCTGTCTTTTGGGGTTTTAAGCTAATTTTATCATTATATATTGTCAGGTCTCTTTTTTTAATTAATATGGCTTTATGATTAATATTATTAGTTTTTAATGATTTTTAGATTTTTTTTTTAATCATCATTGTTGATTCTGGAAACTGTCAGGATTTCCTCATTAACTCCCAGAGGCTGGCTTTGCTGCAAGCATGCAGTACACAACTATGACAAATAAGTAAAAAAATTCTAGGAATCATTCCCCAAACCTCTAGAGGGCACTAGGTTGAGGAAAACTGACTTAAAAGCTGGTTTGGCATTTGCTTCATGATTAGTCTTTTTTTTTAAGCTGAAAATTGTTAATGGGGGGCAGGTTGGCAGGTAAGGAAAGAAGCGAACACAAATGTGGTATATCTATGGAAAACCTGTCCTATGCAAAGTTTCAAACGGTGTTTTGCTTGGTGGAAGCTTCTAATAAATGCCCTATTGAAGCTGCTTCCGCTCCTAGAAATACCAGCAGGGACCTCTTCACACACACACAATTTATGTTTAGATGTTTCTTCTAGGTAATAGAATGCCAGATGAGGCTTCAAGGTGATAGAAAGTGGCTTGTTGAGACAAATCATAGAATTATGAAGTCGGAAGGAACTTCAAGGATTATCTAGTCCAACCCTGTGCAATATGCAGGAAAACCAATTAAATCATCTATGAGAAGTAACTATTCAGAGGTGGAGAATTCACAACCCCTGTAGATAGACTGTTCCAAGAAGTTATTGTCAGGAAGTTCTTCCTCTTATTTAAATTAAATCTAGCTAGATACATCATATACTCATTATTTCTGGTCCTAGTGTCTGTAGCAAGGGAGAATAGTTTTCAACCACCTTCCCCAAATCTTCCCTTTATGTACCTGACACTGATATTGTGTCTCTCCTAGTCTTCTTTTCTTTCAGTTGAACATCCCAGGTTCCTTCAGCCTCTCCTCATAGGCATGTCCTTAAGTGCCTGCATCATCTTTGTCATCTTCTGAACCTACTGTTACTTACTGCTTCTGTCCTAGGAGTACTGCCAAAACCCTTAATATACTGATATGTTTTGTGGGGAAGTGGGGCTTTTAAAAAGTCAATATGTAAGAACATGAGCAGTGCTCAGCAGGAGGAGACCTCTGGCCCACCTAGTCCAGTAGTCTGTTCTTCCAGTGGCCCACCAACTGCACAGGGAGGTCCACCGGTCTCCCAGCAAACACCTTCAAAAGCAGTCCCACTGCCATCAAGGCTAATAGCCATGGGGCCCAAGGACTTCCATGAATTGTTCCAACCCATTTTTGAAGCCAGCCAAGCTGTACTAAGCACCACATCTTGTGGTAGCAAATTCCAAAGTTGAATTACATATTGTGTTAATAAAAAAAATAGAATAAAGAAAGTCAGTAGAACAATGTGCCACCATTATTCAGTAGTGTAATCTAGGGGACTCTGGTGATCTCTGTCAAAGTTGCTCTCCACCATATGCAACCTACAGAGTGCCCTCCCTGTTCTACAGTCAAGAGACAAAAACACTTTGGAGCATGGGCTTGATTATTCCCTTACCTGATTTGTGGGTAAGGTGCCCCTTCAATAGTGCATGTAAACTGTGTGTCTTCACCATCAGCATAATAGGTGTGCTTCATCTTGTTCAGAAACCTGGGAGGCACTGGAAATTAAAATATATCATGAGAAAGTTGGAAGCTTTGTAAAAAAATAGAAGAGTAAGTAAAAGGCTCTTCTAAACCCATCTTCTATAAGTTGGGAAACAAATTAGTTTCCACTTGGAAGCGTGATGCATTTGAGAGAAAACCTGATTGCCTGGACTTTATTGATACATTAAGTTACTTGCAGGTATGAATGTCCATGCTGCCAAGGAGCAATCACTAGCTACAGATTGTGAGTGTGTGTGTGTAGTGCTGGTACCTTGAACAAGAATTTTCCCAAGGGTGCTGGCACTGCCTGCTGGACTAGCAGCATAGCACAAATATTGCCCTGAATCAACTCCGGTCAGGTTGTCAAGAATCAAAGTACAAGAACCATCTGGATCTTCAATGATGATGTGATGAGGATCCACTTCTACTGGCTTCCCATCTGCAGAGCAAGAGGAAAAAACATCCTTCTGTGAACACAGGATTGTATTCAGGGTTGAATATGATTATGAAATGGATTCTCTTTATTTATTTTTACATATATAATATCTTCATTCTGTATACATCCTTCTATTATATTCTCTCTGAATCATACTGTGCTCCCTAGATATCCTTCAATTAACAGCTCACCAAAAAGATAAGCCCCTGTTAAAATTAGTATACAGTACTATTATTTCTAAGGAACAAAGGGAAGAACAAGATAAGGGAGAATATAGACTAAACCATCAATTGGCACCATTGAGAAGTGATAAACAGAAACAAACTAAAGGAAACTTTTATCTATCATGATTGCATAGCTGGTACCAATAAACAAGGCCTTATTTCCTTGAGAAAGAAACTGAAAACATCAAAGAAGAAGAAAACGCATGAAGCTGGAATTAAGCATGTACTAATATTTACTGCAAGAAACAGCACAGATACCATGACATAGATAAAAGGTGGAAACATGGCAACAGAAAGGTGAGATTTTCCCACAAAATGCCCTTTGTAATCTTCCAAGTCCCTTTTTTCCACTAAGTTTGGACATTGCATAAAAGATCCCTGAAAGTTTTGTAACAGAAAAAGATTCATGGGCCATTTTAGTATCATAATAGTCAACTTGAAGTCTGGAAAAGAGTTTTTGCAAACATTGCAAGTTTAGAACATTGAGAGATTCCTCCCATATCTGGTGCATCTCCTGGTCCTCACAGGTGGTTACCAGGAATAGTCTCCTTGCCAAAAATTTACAGCTTCATTCTGACCTATATATTGGGAAAACCAAGACTGCCTAACCAGCACTGGTTATACCTTTATACCAGGTGACACCTGGTTTGGGGGTTCCTGTGACTCGGCAAGCTAACTTGACAGTTTCACCCAGCTCAGCTGTACAGTCAGCCAGTTCCTCCTCAAAATCTGGTGGATCTGAAAGTAAACATATTTAAATCCATGGTCTTCAGGGATAAGCACTGAATGGGAAAAACACCACAAAGAAAACTTTAGTAGCAGTAGTCTTGATTTCCCCCCTGAGTTATGCTTACCCCATACAGGGAGACTGATACGTTGCTGGATATTACAGATTTCCTTCACCCATGAGTTTTTGATGATGACGGTCCTAGCTTGGAAGAGGTACTTTCGGACTGAATCTTCCCGTTCGTGCCAAATCTCAAACGCCCGGTCATCTCCTTCAACCAGATCATTAACATCGATGTGTGATAGCTAAGCAATATGAAAATAATGTTACAAGCAACCCAGGATATTGTTCACATTCACTGTAGATCTTACAGCAGTATACATTCAAAAACAACAATTGACTATCTAATGCTTCTGTCCTGTGATTAACCTGCATTTTTCAATTAACACCTGGAAGAGACGCTGCTTAGATGAGCTAGCTCTTCCTATTTACTGTTGCAAGCTGGGTGATAAACTTCCAGCTCTAACCTCAATCAGATGTAATTATTTCCCTCTTCTGTTGTAGCAGGCACCCAGTATAGATTAAAAACACAAGGGGAGGAAGTAGCATTACATTTTTCCTGCTTTTTATGCAAACAGGGGTGATGCATTTTTCTAACTCTAAGTGTTGTCATAGCTGGTCAAAGTGAGACCTCTGAACAAATGACTAATTTTGTACACTTCCACTAGGTGACAGGACAGAGTGCTAGTGACTTAGGGTGTTTCCTAGTTTTCCACTTGGAAGTGAGAAACTGAAGTGTCTGTTTAATTCAAATATGGATTTAAACTCCTCTGGAAGTGGTATGCAGAAGTTGAAATCTCACAATAGAATTACTTGTTCAGTTAGAGATCAACAGCAGCATTCACACATATGCAACTTGGTTAACTGTATATTTGGATTGTTTTGTGTTTTTTGAGACTTACCTTGTTGTGTAAATCAAGCCTGTTTAATTAGTTTGTGGTACAGTACATTGTGCAAACCCAAGAAAGAGGTTTATTTGATCACTAGATTAGATGCATAGTATTTTGTTAAATGGCCACGTACAAATACTGTAGATTGGAAGTGAAGTTTTCTAATACGTGTTCTTGTTGGTTCCTTTATGTCTCCTCTATCCCAACAGGTGTTTCAGTGGGTGGGAGTGGGCAAGGGATTAATCATGCATTGCATCACAAAATAACAACATTGAAATGCAAACCCCACAATTTAACTTACTGGTGTCCAGTGTCAGCATAAAAGAATGAAAAGCCAGAGTTTGCATCATAGCATTGCAATGCGTATTGATGGGTG